CACCGGTGGCACCAGTCATGGAGCGCGTGGAGCTTGGGGAGGTCGGCGGCGAAGCGAGCGGGTCGGAGCAGCTCTTGGTCCAGGACGCTCGCGCCCGGCGCTCGCCCTGGCGAGGGGCGGGCGGCGCTGCCGCGGGTGCGCTGCTCCTGGCCGGCGCCGGCGGGGCGGCGGCGCATTTTGCGCTGCGCGGGGCGGCCTCGGGCGCGGGCCCCCGCCAGGGCAAGGTTCAGACGATTGGCTTTCCCGCGCGCGACCAGTGCTCCAACTGGGACGAGGACTGCTTCAGCACGGGGTGCTGCAACGTGGCGGGCCTGACCTGCTTCCAGACCAAGGCAGGCAAGGGCGAATGCCTGAAGAACTGCACGCCCAGCGATACCAAGCTCTGCAACCAGCCGCAAGAGATCATGGAGCCGGTCTTGGTGGATGCTGCAGTGTACGACCCGACGCTGTATTGCTTCGCGATAGTCATGCAGGACATCGGCAGCACGAAGAAGTACTACGATCTGGAGCTGCTCCAGGGAGCGTATGACAAGGGGATCGGCATCTTTGGTTGTGATTCCTGGGGGGTCTTCAGCGACGCAGAGGCCGATCTTGCGCCCGGCGTTCCGGTCACGAAGGTGGATGACGTCGACGGGGACTTCCACTACGCGAAGCGGGAGGAGACTGGCACCTGGCTGAACACTGGCTTGCACTACCAGGCTTGGAAGGCAATTCAGGCAGAGGGAAAGTATGCGACTGCGAACTGGGTCGTGAAGCTCGATGCGGACGCGGTCATGATCACGAGCCGGTTGAGGTACTGGCTGTCAGACAAGTACGTCCCGCCTCAGGGCATCTACCTCGAGAATTGCCAATACGTCAAGTATGGTTGGTTCGGCAGCCTGGAGATCTTCTCGAAGGTCGCGTTCGAGACGCTCCTGGGATCGATGGCCTCTTGCAAGAACGGTGGGATCGACTGGAAGGTGGGCATAGATGGCGGCAAGTACGGGCCCATGGGCGAGGATCTGTTCGCGCAGACCTGCCTGGACGCGAACGGCGTCAAGCGCGGCATCGGGTACGGCTCCAAGCTGGACGGGACGTGCGAGGCGGACCGGCCCCTCTCTGAGAAGAAGAACAAGAAGTGGAAGCCCAACTGTGACACCGTCGCCACCACGACATACCACCCGCTGATGAAGCCGGAGGACTGGTGGGCGTGCTACGAGGCTCAGCCGGCCGCAGCAGGGGGTAGGGGGAGGGGGGAAGCCTTCTTGGAAGCACCCCTGCTTCTCAGAGGGCGCGGGCTCCTCTGCAAGATGGAGGGACGGCGCCTTCGTGAGCAGCCGCCTCCCTCGAGAAGCCGTCCTCCCCCCTCTCCCCCCGCCCTGCTGTCGCGCGCCGCCACGAAGGCCCCACCTGAAAAGCACTTCCCGGTGTACCCGCCGCCATGAAATCGGCGGCGGGCACATGGTGTGAGCGGGGCCTGCCCCTCCACAGGAGGAGTATTTTTTGGGGACCCTTCTCCATTCTGGAGCATGTCTGGCGTTATTTCTTCTCTTCCGCCCCTCGTGGCGCCCTCGCGGCCCGCCGCCCGCGCGCCCGCCGCCGCGGGCTCCCAGGCGGCCGACCGCCTGCCCGACGGAAGCAGGCGTGCTTGCCGCGGGTCCCGCGGTCGCCCTTCGTCGGGCGGCCCGCGCAAAAACCACCACCAAAATACCCCAACCCAGCCAGAAGGCTCAGATATACCTTCGATTTCCAGTGGGGGGGGGGGGCCGGGAACTTCGAAAAAACACATGTGGAGCCCATACCCCCCCAACCCGAACTTCGGGTCTTCGGGTTGGGTTGGGGTGGTCTGGCAGGTAGTCGGTCGCGCGCGCCTTTTTTCTGTTCGCTCCCCCCCGCGGCGCGAAGGCGCCGATCGCGCGGGCGCCCGTGCGATCGGGCGAGGGGAGCCCCCGACGCCCGCCCGTCCAGCGCCGGGACGGCGGCCGCCGCGCCAAAGTCTGCACGGCGGCCGGGGCGTCGTGCTCTGAGCCTCCTAGAGGGGGTCGGAGTAGAGGGGGTCGGAGCATCGCGCCGCATCGCCGGTGCATCGGCGATGCGGCTCGATGTGGAGCTCGATTCTCCCTAACGCGGACGTCGCCGATGCATCGCCGACGTCGCCAGTCCACTGCCGGCGCATCGCCGATGCATGGCCGATGCATCGCCGATGTATCGGCGATGCGGCGCGATCCTCCGACCACATCTACTCCGACCCCATCTAGGAGGCCTCTACATGAGGTCGAGAGGTCGAGCGGTGCTTCCAAGCTCTTGGGCGAGAGGCGCAGTGGCTTGAAGCTTGAGTCTCCCTTCACCTTGGCGCCAGAGTGCGTACCTTAGGCATTTTTCCGGATGGGCTGTCAAAGACTTGGGAGGGCGAATCGAGTTTGCGAGCCCCTGTGTGAGAGGCAGAGGGGCTTGAAGCCTGTTCTCCTCCATACGAGCCGTCATGTTCATCACGCGGAATCTCTCTCTCCTTGAGAGCTCG